GGCTTCCTGATTAGCCAGGAAGCCGGGCGGCATGTAAAAATTCGCCACCCGGCTTCCCGATAAGCAATGAAGTCGTCCCCATGCTTCCTTGTCACCAGGTGACGAGAAAGCATGGAACCGGCTTTCCGGCCAATCAGGAAGCTGGGGGAGGGTAATGACTTGCCATCCGGCTTCCTGATTGGCCAGGAAGCCGGGCGGCATGTAAAAATTTGCCACCCGGCTTCCCGATAAGCAATGAAGTCGTCCCCATGCTTCCTTGTCACCAGGTGACGAGAAAGCATGGAACCGGCTTTCCGGCCAATCAGGAAGCTGGGGGAGGGTAATGACTTGCCATCCGGCTTCCTGATTGGCCAGTTTCCCAACCAATCAGGAAGCTAGGCGGCGAGTCTTTACAAGCTGCCTGGCAAGCTGGTTCTATGCTTTCTCGTCACCTGGTGACAAGGAAGCATGGGAACGACTTCATTGCTAATCGGGAAGCTGGGTGGCGAGTCTTTACATGCCGCCCCGCTTCCCGGGTAATCAGGAAGCCAGGTGGCAAGTCATTACGCTAAGTGATGAGGGAGCATGGAGCCAGCTTCCTGATACCAGAAGTTCAGGTATCGGGCTAGGCATCTGAGCATTTGGGCGAGTACGAGTGCTCGCCCAAATACCAAACAAAAGGAAATCTACTTAACACACTCTACAAACTCCTTTCCAAAGATAAATAATGGAGCAGAAAAATACAAATTACCACCACGAAGGTCACAAAATACACCATTAATTCACATGTCGAAAGACACATTTATTAAAAACCATGGTGCCGTCTACAATCCCCTCCCAGACCCCAAACTCCACATAGATAGGGATCCCAGCGGATACCTATCAACCTTGTACTATAAATCATATTTGTAGTTATAGAATAGGTATTGTGGCAGCAAAGTACACTCCTGTAGTAAACATCAATCATATCATTTCCATCTGTGGTTGTAGCCAGATATTCATTTCACTTCCATCCACATATATGTGTACTGCTGGTTGTTAAGGTCGGTGTCGGCCACACACACTGTCTCTCTGTATGCCAGTTCAGATTTGTTCTTAATTATCGGCAGTTTTCTAATCTGCAAACTGGCAGTAATTCTTTATAAGTCTGTCACAGCGACAAGTTCTTAAAGTGTTGCTATGTAGAACTATCTGGATCTGTCACAAGTGTTGGTACAGCTGCTGAAACTGGTGACAAGGCTTTTTTAAAATTCAGTGCAGGACCTTTTAAGGGTCTATACCGCAGGAAGAAATGACACAAAGACTTTATTGAATCCCCTAATGTTGTCACAGAGTTATTGTGAGGTTAACCAATACAAACTAAAACTGATAAACATTGATTGAGCATCTAGGTTTCAATGACCCCTAGTCAAGAAAGGGTTCAATCAAAGAGGAAGAAATGAAAATGAAAATATACTAATCTTTTTATTGTGTGTTTATGAATGTACACTGTATGTATGTGAATGTATAAACATGTGTTCTTTCACAGCTATTGCACTGTGCTCTGATTAAACAAAGAGTCCTTTGGTGAAATCAATTGGCCAAGAATGAAGGTCTCCAGAGAGAAGTGATCACCTTTCCCATATATTGACACACTTTTGACCAACAGATTCCAAGCCTGCCCACCACGACAAGGTAGACTCTTCTAGGGCAGGGCCTACACTAAACTACACTAACGCTACCCCACTCAATGCTAGTCATTGGTTTCCTAACGTTGGATGTATATTTGTAGTAGGCCTCATCCTATAACCTGGGTGTGATCTACTCTACCCTAGTTTGGTTGTCTATGTGCATCTCTCTACAGCAGGGGTGGCAAACTCAAATTAATCGGGGGCCGCATCAGCAGTATGGTTACCCTCAAAGGGCCGGTTGTATAGGACTATGCATCTACTCTTTATTATCATAAATAGTTGCCTCTGCATTCAGTTGCTACTGGTGATAGCGGCCACACCCCCAGTAACCACACCCATTTATCACCCATATTTTTGCTAAAATATAAGAGTCGGGGTCACGTCGGGTAAATAGACACCAAACATGTCATGCTTTAAAATTGCGTTGACAGCTGCGGGCGCGGCTTCTCTCCCCCTCACCGCACCGCCATCCTGACAGCAGGCAGCGCTGTGCGGGCCACATTACAAGGTCCGGCGGGCCGGATTCGGCCCGCGGGCCTTGTGTTTGCCACCCCTGCTCTACAGTGTATTCTAGTCATTTTATGTATATCTGGACGTCCATAAATGTATGTTATTGTGGTTATTAAGGCCCCAGCCTTGGTATCAGGTAAGTTAAACTGCTTTACGGCTCGTTCACACCATTTGCATTGGGGCTATCCTGGATTTTTTTTCAGCGCAGCCTGAGAGCAAGACAAGGCAATTTGCCTTGTCACGGATGGTGACAGCTCACACCACTGCCTTCCGGTGGTGTGTGCTTAAAAAAAGTAAGACATGCAGTACTTTTTTTAAGTGCACTGCAGTGGGATGCAGAACAACCACATCACACCACGTTTAGCCCATTGAACTGAATGAAATGTCACTTGTGACTAGGAAATAGTGTTATGCGATTTGATCGAGCATTTCGGAATTGAACGGGTATGCGCACCAGCAGCCATGCTTGACACTGGTCCCCCTACACATAAACAAGTAGTTAACCCTTGCAATGAGGGGGGCAGCCCCACTGCCAGGGAAGGTTTTTTTTTGTCCATGGAGACATACTTTAATGTAATATGCATTCAGTAGTTAAACAATACAATTTTATAGAAGTCTATACATCAGATCAAAAAGAGGGACAATTGAAGTGGAGAAATTTGGTCCCAAAAGGGGGACAGTCCCTTGACAGTTATATATTACAGTATAGCATGTGGGTAAAGTAATTTGAATTGGCTGGATATGGCAATGGTTGCCTCCTTTCTATGTGCACTTTAATCTTTTATTGTGTAACTTGTGGACTTTAGCCTAGGCTGGTAATCCTTCTGCATTAGCACACAATGTATTTCAATAACATCCCCTCCCTAACAGTGCCACTCCCTGCCTTGTCATGAGGGTGTATCACACACCACAGCCAAAATGTGGGGCTATAGGAACTGCTGGAGATACACAATCTACACAGAGCCTGTTAGAGGGGAGGAGACACAACGCGGGAGGAGCCAATGGTCTGATTTTCCATGCAGAATGTGGGGCGGGGTAGAACGCTACATGTGCATTCCCTTAGAAGGGAAATTAGTTGATCGTCCCGCCCCACTTTCCAGTCGCAGGCTGTAGCTCCATGGCTCCGGGATGTGTTTTGACACGTGGGGTGTGGGACGCTCTGTGATGATGTCATGCAGGCTGGTCAAGAAGTCTTGGGTGCTGCTGAGCCGGGCACACAGCAGTGTGAGGAGAAGAAGAACGGAGCAGAGAGCCCGGACTTCTTCCAGGACGGGGGAGCCACAGCCTGTGTGTGAGGGGTGACTGCCCAGGACTCTGTACTGCCTACACAGCTCTGCAACTTAGCTGGACTTCTGTTCTTCCTTTCTCTGTGCATTCATGTACATAGAGCCTCCATAGAGGGTAGACTGTCACAGCCTGTATGTATCGTAGTGACTGCTCATAGCCTAGCTGTTCCCTGTGCAACCCCTATGGACAGCTCGCTGTCTTAGCTGGACTTCTCTGTCTGTCCATTCCTGTACATGTAACGCTATACACAGTTACAGTACACGCAGCCCTGTCTGTAGGCTGTACATTGCAGTGCACACAGCCCTATCCACAGCTTGTACAGTACAGTACACACGCAACCCCATCATTACAGTACACACAGCCCCATCCACAGCCTGTACATTACGGTACACACAGCCCTGTCTGTAGCCTGTACATTACGGTACACACAGCCCTGTCTGTAGGCTGTACATTACGGTACACACAGCCCTGTCTGTAGGCTGTACATTACGGTACGCACAACCCTGTCTGTAGGCTGTACAGTACGGTACACACAGCCCTGTCTGTAGGCTGTACATTACGGTACACACAGCACTGTCTGTAGGCTGTAGGTTACAGTACACACAGCCCTGTCTGTAGGCTGTACATTACGGTACACACAGCCCTGTCTGTAGGCTGTAGGTTACGGTACACACAGCCCTGTCTGTAGGCTGTACATTACGGTACATGCAGCCCTATCCACATCCTGCACATTACCGTATACGCAGCCCTATCCGTAGGCTGCTCATACTATAGGCTCCTACTCCCTCCAACTGTACACTCTGCCTCTTTATAGTAACTATTCATTATTTCTGTCCACATCTTCCCATACAAGTCTTCTTGCAAATTTCCATTGTAGCCATACAACTGTTCTCTCCATGTGTGTACATTCCTATGCACAGAGCCCCATTACTCTCTGTCTTCAGATTCCTATATAATGGTCCATTTTCTTTGTACTCCTAATGTTCCTCTACTGTATACGTATTAACACAGAGCCTTAGCTTCCAGAATATAGATTCTTACTGTTTCTGTAAGGCACACCTCAGTCATATTCCGATATTTCTTGTACAGCAATCCACATATAGCTGACCCCACAGAAACTCTTACTGGCTGCTTATGTACACCTAATTTCATTCATAGTGCCTATTCATCACTGTTCTGTTGTTCCATGGACAGCCTTCCCGTAGTTTGTCCTGGATTTAGCTTCTAAGTAGAACCTCAAAGTGCCTACTTATTACCACTATACATAGCTCACTAGAGAACTTTTTTTGCATTTTTATAGCCTATGGAATTGTGATGCTCCCACTTTTGGATATTCAGTTCTTCTGAACATACAGGCCACATAACACAGAATGCATGTTGCCCATGTCCTGCCAGTGTTAGTAGTTCAGTATTGCAGTCCATGTTTTGGGTAAGGATAGGGTTTATGACCCTGTCATCCTGTCCACAATTTTTTTGTGTGCTATTTCTTTGAGAACCCTTTGCACCAGGAGTGTGTAGGCTCCTCCCCATGCCCTGATCCAGGTTTTGCTTTTACAGTAGGTTTACTTAGTCCTGGGCCACCCTTGCACACGTTGGTCCAAAATGGAAGACTCAAACTCCACAACGGTGGTTTCTGACCCCCAACACGCCGCCAAGCTTCTCCGAGCTCTCAGTTGTTTCCGGGAAGAATCTGACTTCTGTGATACTTTGCTTATTGTGGAAGAGCAAGAAATTCCTGTGCATAAGAATATTTTGGCAGCTGCTAGTCCCTACATAAGGTAAATGTGGTATAATTTCTTACTATATGTTATGTATTTGCATAGTTTCATCAGAACAGTACAAGTGTCCGAGGGACTCTTTTATAATTGCTACTACTGAGAAACAAAATATTTGTACATGTTAAAAAGAAAATTTTATGGAGATGATGATGGTGACATCCTCTAAAAAAAATGAGTCAAGGCAACTGTATTTTTCTTGAAGACGTTTCACTGGTTGTCCAACCAGCTTTCTCCATTCAGAATTCAGAAAGCTGGTTGGATAACCAGTGAAACGTCTTCAAGAAAAATACAGCAAGTCCGGTTGCCTTGACTTATTTTTTTACAGATATACCATGACCTGGATGAATGAGAACCTTCACAGACATACGATGATTGTGACAGTGTCATCTTGTGAAATGCAGTAGGAGGGGTAGTAGATCTGGAGTATCTATCACAAATTTTATCTTTGGCTCTGGTAGTGTAGTATCATATACATGGGTGTTGGATGTGGCAGGTAGGTTCACCTATAAGGTCAGATAATTCAAAGATGTGACAGGAAGCATGTCAGAGAATCCATTGAGGAATAATTGCAGTCACATGTAATGGGAGTCTTACTTTTAAAGTGACCGCTCCAAGCTCACTCCCGTGATGGTCTATTACTTCAATACAAATTGGTAAACTGAACGTGAGATTGTAGTCCACCAGGGGAGTGAGCTTGGAGTGGTGGTTACTTTACAACACACACAGGGACCGTGGGAAACAAAAGTAGCCACCCTCCAGAAGGAAGGACAGTGTCGGCACCAATTCAGAGATGATTTGAGGATTTACAAAATATATGTTTTTGTTAATAGTGAAGGTTTTTTGTATTTTTAAGATTTAAATCCTGAGGTTTTTAAGCATACTGCTGATGTCTGTGTTGCACACTAGCACCAGGCAATGGCTGTACAGAGAACTTTTTTTTTTCTTTTCCCTATGCTGGTTATTCTCATTGTGACAAAGTTGCTTGCAATGAGTATCAAAGTCAGCCAGTAACTAAGCTCCAATGCACGTTACTCTATCATTGCAGTTTGCGGGACACCATTGTCGGCTATGACATTGAAAACTGTGTAGACAGACATACAGTATATCTGTTTGTAAGTAGTGGGTTAATCTGAGTAACTCTTTTTAGTTATGGAGTTCAATAAGGCGTGTAACATTCAAACTTCTATTTCGGCTGACTTTGCAAGAGAAAGCATTCTTGAGGGCGGCTCTGTCATTCTGCCCCTGGGATATTTAGCACACGGTCTCAAATTGCAAGCTGTCGTGTCTGTTCTGCTGCCCTATTAAGATAAAAGCGGAACACTTGCATAGAATTGCTGATTTTATCTCTAGTAAATAATTCAAGTTGTGGGTGTTTATATTTAAATACGTTTTGTATGTCCAGTATAATTCAGAATGCTTTGGGTGCACTCTGGATAAGGTCTATGCTAATTGCATTCCCTCCCTGATACACCTCTTGGGTCAGTAGTTGCATGAATTACCTGTAAGGTTGGGGACTCCAATTCTCTGATGCTTCAGTTCAGTTATTTATTTGGGTAATGTCTGTTACTGACATGTGCCAAAAATCTGCCTGGTCCTTTTTTATATGCCATCTAGATACCACCATCCAACATCACTGTGTATGTAATAAAACTAACAGCTATGAATAGCCTGTGTATATGACCATGTACTAAGTGTACTATGTCCTTTCTGTCTAACATGAACTTAAGGATTGCAATAATATTAACCCTTGCAGTGGGGCTACCCCTTCACTGCAAGGGTTAACTGCTTGTTTTGTGTAGGGGACTGGAAGCAGATATACTCCCCTGGTCCTCAATCTTGCTCGGCTGCTAGACCGGTCCCTGCAGCCTATTCTCCCAAAGCTCCGGCGGGCTCTGGACCACTGACATCATTGAATCTAATACAAGTTAATTCACCTGCATTAGAAGTGAGGACGTCCAGGGATATACCACAGCTGGAGTGGAGGGGGAGGGAGGTGAGCGCTGACCGCCGCAGGAACAAGGATCAGGTGAGCATATCTTCGTATTCCGGCCTTTAGATCAAACCAAGCAGTTAACCCTTGCAGAGCAGGGGTAGTCCCACTGTAAAGGTGGCCATACACCATACAACCATCGTTCAAATTTTTTTTGTCCCAGCATCGCACCCTCGTTCGATTTCCATTCAAATAGCCCATCTTGCACAGACCAATGTAGATTTCGATTATCGTTTGTTAGCAATACTAACTGGCCGAATTTCATTGATAAACAGAACAGATTTTCGTTTGCGCATGTGCAGGGTTCATGTTGCGGTTTTTGTCGTACGAAAACGCTACTAATCCGTAAGTTTTCTAGTCTGCCCATTCAACCACATTTGGCCAGTTGTACAGTAATTGCGATTATGCACTTCCCATCAACTGGCGGCCGATTATCGTACGAAACCGCAGACGTGGATGATTATCGAGCGATAATTGCAAGGTGTATGAGCAACTTCAAGAGTTAATGTTATGAAAACCTGAAGTTCTTCTTTAATTTAGCCAGCCGTGCTGAAAATGCCCACTGTCCAATGTAAAACATTCACCTGGTGAGAGGGCAATGGAAATTTCATATGAAGAGGAAATGTGGCTACTTGCATGTACCATGGGAAACCTTTTGATTTATAGAAATATCGGAGTTGCCATTGCTGACTTATGTTTAAAGGTGTGGGTGTCATCCTAAACCTTGGCCAGCGGTCTATGGCAGAAGAGACTGTTTAGGTCTTATCTGCTATAAAAGCTTTCTGCCGTTCGCCAATTTTGTTTTTTTTCTGTATGCTGAGCCGCACAGGTGCAGCTCAGTGCACAGACACGGGAAGGCAGAGATGAAGTAATTCCCGTATGTATGCACAGGATTCACATCATCGGAGCCTGGCCAATCAAGCGGCCAAACACTTGAGACCTGGAAGAAGACTGGGCAGAAGATAGAAGCGTCGCTGAGGGTGAAGTGCATTAGGGCTGCAACTAATGATTATTTTCATAATCGATTAGTTGGCCGATTTATTTTTTTCGATTAATCGGATACAAAATATTTATATAAATGCCATCCTTAATTTAAAATAAAATACACAAATGCAGAATAAAACTGCATGCACAATTTTCTCCAATCTCACTGCACTGGAACGCAAGGCATTGTGGTACTGTACGTCCCAGTGCAGGCGATTACACTGGGGGTGGGAGGTGCGTTTTGGGGTGCCATTGAAAAGAATGGCACGGCAACGCACCTGCAGCAGAATTTGTCAGTCCGAAACCGAAAATGACTATTTTTCCCACCTTTTTTATAACTTTTTTTATTTTGTAAATAATTGTATTGTATGCACGTGGCGCTTGAATAGCTTCAGCCTGGGAATGGCAGCTGCCAGTGGCAAGATTCCACAGGCGGCAGCTGAATGTAAATACAGCAGGTAGTGCAATAGCCAGCCTGCTATTGGCCATTTCAGATTGCAATAGGCTGGTTATTGCACTCCCCCACTGCTTGCTGTGCCCTCCTCCCAGCATGCAGGAGAGAGCTAGGGGATCCAACCAACTAATTGATAATGAGTAGTGCTATGCACCAATACCGATACTGGTATCAGTATCGGTGCATTGTATATGAGTACTCGCCCAAATGCTCTGATGCCTTGCCCGATACTTCCGTATCAGGAAGCCGGACAGCACGTCATTACACGCTGCCTGGCTTTCTGATTGGCCCGGAAGCCGGCTCCATGCTCCCTCGTCAGTTGTGACGAGAGAGCATGGAGTCGGCTTCCCAGCCAATCAGGAAGCCGGGCAGCGTGGAATGATGGGGAGCCCGGCTTCCTGATTGGTCGGGAAGCTGGCCAATCATGAAACCGGGCGCCCTGTAATGATGCAGAGCCCGTCTTCCTGATTGGCCGGGAAGCCGGCTTCATGCTCCCTCGTCACCTCATGACGAGGGAGCATGGAGCCGGCTTTGTGGCCAATCAGAGAGCCGGGCACCGCGCCATTACACCGTGCCCCGGCTTCCTGATTGGCCACAAGGCCAGCTCCATGCTTACTCGTCACCTAGTGATGAGAAACTTGGGCATGGCTTTCCTGCTAATCGGGAAGCCGTGTGGACAGTCATTACACTCCGCCTGGTTTCCTGAATGGGACTTCCGGTACTCGGTATTGGAGAGTACTGGAACAAATATCGGTACTCGATACCGGTATCGGTGCATCCCTAATAATGAGAATAGTTGGCAACTATTCTCATTATTGCTTATTATCAATCGATTAGTTGGTTGCTGCTTTAGCCCGGACTAAAAAAATGCAGATTATTATTATGCAGTCTTCTATTCAGCCAGCAGAAAGAGCTCGTCTCATTTTCACATATTTAGCTTTCAACCTTCAGCTATGCACAAAGCAGTCTGGTGTCTAGATTAGTTGGTTGCAACCCTAAAGTGCATCGCTGGAAGGGATCAGTTAGGCATGTAAGTCTGTCATAATGTGCTGTGAATACTAGCACACTGGCTAAAAGATCCTGGGGAGGCCCCCTCCCCCCTCTTCTTGGCCATAGCTTTACTTGTGCTTTAAGCTGGTATGTAAATGACAGCCCTGAAGCCTGGACGTTTAAAAAAAAAAAAAAAACACACACTCGCACACATTTTGTATGGGGCAACTCCCATAAAGCTGTCTTTACAGGTTTACTATAAAATACTTTTAGCAATTCACAAGGGAAGAAAAAAAAAATAAAGATTTTTTAATTTGCTTGTTAAACATCTGATAGGCAACTTTTGTTCCTGGTTAGTAACTCACTAAATGGTGAAGCAATAGGATCAGGATGGCAGCCGAAGAGAATGCACATGTAAAACAGTCATCAGTGGGATATCATGCTTTTCTATTTCAACAGAATCCCTTTAAGGCCAAGGAAAAAATAAAGGTGCACTAACCATGGACAGGTTGGCAGCGTAAACTTGGATCTGTATACTTTCTTTCTTCTTCCCCTTTTTTTTTACTTTTTTTTTTATTTATTTTTTATGGCTTTGTGTGTTTTTTCTTTTGGGTCCTGTTTGACTTTCAGCTATTCTTGGAGCGCTACCAGCAAATGTTTAATATTTTTAGTATGCTGCTGCCAAGTCTTTATGTTACGCTCTGTTACTATTGTTCTGCTATAGTTGATTATTATTATATAGCATGTTCTTTCTAATATGATATTTAATATTCTTACAAGTTGATATGAATATCAAACACACATATACAATGACTCAGTGATTTAAATAGGGCTGTGTGTACATGAATGCATTTTTAGGTTTCCACCTAAGATTATATATCAACAGATAACACCACCTGTAGGTTTGGGGTGGCTGGGGTTGGGTAACAGAAGAAAAGTATAACTTGTACCCTTTGCTTTTTTACTGTGACCTGCATCAGATATACTTTCTGGTAAGTACTTGTTCCGCCATTTCATTATGTTTTGATATGAGTTGAGAATTGTCCCAATACACCCATGCGTCTATCAATTGCTCTTATTGCCATGTTGCTCTATCCGTGTATAACTGCCCTTTTATTAGTCATGTGATTTGGGATGGAGAATGTGTAAAGATTAGTGGTAGTCCACGTAAAACATTTTTCTTTATTGTGCATTGAGAGACTCCGAAATAAAGTAATTCTGGGACATTTAGGGGCCTTTCACACCCTGTCCGGATCATCTCCAGACCAGAACAGTTGGTTTCCGGACCCAAAATGCATCCTTATGTATCCCTATGCTATTTCTGGCCTCTGTTCACACCAGCGCAGTCCGTTCCAGACCAGAAAAATATTGCTTGTCCTTTTTTGTCTGGTCTGGAACGCATCAAAACGCACTGGAAAGCACTTGCAAGACAATTTTAAGCAAAAAAAAAAAACATTAAAAAAATCCCAAACACGGCAAAAAAACAAAATGCACTGCATTCCAGATCTGGTTCAGAAAATGGTGTGAACCTGCCCTTAGGGCTTCCTCTCCGTAGTGGAGTTTCTCACTCCTATTCTTGGGTATGGGCCTAGCCTTTTTTCCCAGCATTGTGGTCGGGAGCATGCCGTTGATTTTTTACATGTACACATGGGGTTGCAGGCCAAATTCTCCCCACGGTTTCTTCCTTGAGTGGAGTATGGGCATTTCCCTGCTGGTACCCCCCTCCCTCCTGCCTTTGACGCGTTGGTGGTAGACCTGTGTACTGTCATTTTGGTGCAGTTTCAGAGCCCCGGTAAAGCCTTTTGTGTAACGCAGTCTCTGATGACTCCCTTTGTGAATATGCCTTTGCTTGTATTTGAACGATAATCTGTTATCTGCAGATCGTTGCATGAGTCAGCTGCAGAGCGTTTTCCAGCTCCTAAGTAGTGGCACAGTCTCTGCACTCTCACTCTCAAGCCAATGTCTAATTGTGGTGAACACATCCTGATCTGTAACCTTTGTTTAATGGTACTTCTCAGTCTTAATATAATGAATTAGTAACCCACAGAGTGATTTCCAGCTCTGGAGCTGTGACACATCTTTTTGGCCTGACCCACTCTCAACTAATTGAGTTTAGCTGGTGTGGCCACAGCAATGATGGCTACCTCACAGTTTTGACACAGGGGTGCCAAATTTCCCATCCCCCCCTTCTTTTTTTTTTTCCCTCTTCCTTTTTTTTTTTTTTTCTTGCTTGCCTAAGGATACTCAGCGGTGACGGCAGTCCCTTTTTTCACTGTTACTTCTGCTGCTTTCAACCGTGGATCATCTGGTCTCTGGGATAGTTAAACTGCTCGCCTTGAGTGACTCAATCACATCCTTCTGCTTAGGGCCCTTATCAGTACTAATGACCCGGGTTTGTGCATACGCGTGGCCTTGCCTCACTTTGGGCTTAATTGTTTACCGATAAATGGTGCAACATGTCTTTTAAAAGATGTTCAGAGGACAGTCCTGCTGCAATATGTGACCTCGTTCCATACTCTCCCACTATGGGGAAGGGGAGGTTGATTCACTGGTAATCCTAGATGGTGGCAACACCTGTAAACTGGATCCTTGGGACTCCTATTTCTATCGGGCCGTCCTCCTCAGCAGTCTTTATAGCTCTGCGGCCTGAACTTGAGACCTGTGCTGTGTCTCCTAGGCTTCTTATATGCACCTCTGAACTGGTGACAGTCTGTGCACAATTAATGGAGCTTTCCAGTGCCTTACACTCCAGAATCTGCAGCTGAATGTACTGGACCTTTTATCTTCAATACTGCCCGAGGCACCTATCGCCATCTCTGACTTAGAGCTTTTACAACTTGCCTGTAATGACACGATTTTTGAGCAGGTTCTATATAGCGCAGCTAAGCAAGTTGCTGTTGTTTCCAATCTGCTGTGCATCTAGGGCATTGACCTGTTATAGCCGGTATAGGGTCCTGTGCTGCCTCTTTCCCATACAGTCTGATGCCTTCCACTATGAGGACTGGGAATATCCTACACAATCATGGCTTCCTCCGGATGATACGATGAAACTTTTTCCATTTGAAATGTAATTTGATCATAAATGGTCACTGCTTCTATGGACTCTCTAGTTCTCCACCTTTAAAGTAGGACTGAAACCAGAACCTTTTCTTTTATAGTTTTGTATGGAGTACGGGAGATTTATAACCCCCTGTCAAGTTTTTTTTTTTTTTTTTTGTTTTTTTTTTTCCATCTGCGTCCCATTGGGGAGATTTTGTTTCACTTCCTGTCTGATATCCACAACTGGAAGTAAGAGGAAATCCCTCCACAGAGAGGGAAATCCCTGGTGGTCAGCAAGGTCACTAGAACCAGTGTCTCCATAGGAAGATTTCCCATCTATTCCTGTTCTGGTGACCACCTGGAATTTGGGGTTTTAGTGATAGCGGTCACTAGGACAAACAGATGGGTGAATCCCCTTGATGGGGACCCAGCCAGCAATAAAAACCTGACAGGTGTTCTAATCCCTCTCCACTGTATCCAAAACTGAAGAAAAAAAAGTTTGGTCTTCAGTTGAGTTTTAAGACATACCACTACACAGGTTTTGGAATTTCACTGATAGACATTTGGATTCCCTATTAGATGTTAGTCTGACTTGCCTGGATCTGCTCTCCCTGCCCTGTTGGCGGTGACTTTGATTTGTAAAACCATGTCACAGTGGATTATATCCTTTAAAAGGGATCTCTCCAACACAAGGCAAATATCCTTGTGCTTCGGGACCTGGTGAATCAAATGTCTCAGGTACTATGCTTCAGTTTTGATGGTCTTTTAGAGGCATCTGTGTCTCGTGGCAATAATGTCTGTTCAAATGTGTAGAGAACTTTTGCCTTCAGGTCTGGGATGTAGAGGATATGTTCAAAGAATGCCAAATTCACCCACCCTTTGAGGGAAGACCATTCTAGTTCTCGCTGTGAGCCCTTGCTGTTATAGGAGGTCTGTTAATGGGACACCTCATATAGGAGGTCTGTTAATGTAGGACACCTCACTGGGTATGCTGGTTCTTGGTCAGTGGTTCACCAAGTAGCAAAGAAAAGATAATGTTGGAGGCTGCACTAGTGTTAAGAGTTTCCTTTGCATTTGTTAACCTGCTTTTTTGCTTTTTTTTTCAGAGCCAAACTCAACTACAACCCTCCAAAGACTGATGGATCCATCTACCGCATTGAAATGGAGGGCATTTCAGTGACCATTATGAAAGAGATTCTAGACTACATTTTTAGTGGACAGGTAGTGTGTCTGCTATTTTGGTGTATTTGTGGGAGGGAGGGAGCGGTGGGAGATGGGAAAGATCCTGTCTATCAGGATTGTCTTCTCTGTCTGGCTCCACATTTTTAAACCACACTCCAAATATAACAAATGGTGAGAAGCCACACTGTAGAAAATATATTGCTACAACGATTGCCCAAAAGATTTTACTATTTTTATATGAATGTCAGCCTTTCTTTTCCCAAAATAACAGGTTGCTTTATAGGAGACATCATAGAGTACTTAGCCCCATTCTCCCGCCAATCTGATCCATCACCACAACACCTTTTCATGATGAAAGTTTTGACTTTCTGAAAGTGGAAACCTGCACAGGGCTTGGCAACCTCTTCACCGCCCTTCATGTAACGGCCCTTGGGTCTTGGCATCTTGGGAACCCAGCACTGTATTGAGGGGGGTGAGTGTCAATTTTAACCTTTCCCTTCAAGAAGTACTGGAGTTTTCTTGGGGCATAGGAAGTGTACAACCTGTCTAGAGATTCTCATGTAAAGCCAATCTGTTTTATTGCTGAGTATTAACAGATAATTCACTTTTAATATTTTTAATGCAAACTTTTTTTTTTTCTAAATGCAGAATTGTTTAGATCTTCAAATAGAACATATCCTTCATTTTGTTTTAAGTTTGTAAAGCTGCCATATTCAAAGTGGATGATCTACTTAGTCCTACAAGAAGAATAATCTGCTTGGGCTTGCCCGGATTTAACATCTTTGAGTTACTAGAAGCCATGCTCTGCTTGTGACCACCCACGTCATAGCAGCATGGTGACGGAAGGAAATATAATAAGATAGACTTAAAAAATTGTATCTTCAGACCTCCAAAGTATCTGAGATAAAAAAAAAAAAAGTAAATGTTTCACCCATGGATTGCATTATACCTAACATATACTGTATATCCACATTGCCTCATTTCTAGATCGGTCTAGTAGTAGTATGCCTCTACAGTGTGGTTTTTTTGTTTCAAATACATTTTTATTGAGATTTTCATAGGAACAAGAAGGGTACAGACAGATGCTTACGACCCACAAACGGGTCGTGTGATGTATCAGGTACATAAAGCTTTAAAATCTCAGGTGTTAACAGGGGGGGTGAACAAAACAAGAACAAAAAAACAACAGGTAGGGGGTACCGGTAGAGCGTGTGGTCTCACGTTGCCGAGACTTCTCATTGATCTCATTGGAGTTTCATTTAAAGTTTCTCGATCTATCTTATGGCTACCTCTAGTCAATCCGAGGCAGCTAATGAGTCAGCCATTCTAATTAGATAACATATCCTCTTAGTGGTTGCTATGCATTCATAGTTGAAATCCTGTTATCTTTCGTCTGTAGAGACGGGAAACCTAGTGTTGAAGGTCTATTTGGCGTAGAGAGTTGTGCGTAAAGGGTGACGGTAAGTCAGTGTGGGGGGGGTTTGGTTAGGAGTGTGTGACCTGAAGGTGGCTCAGTAAAGGGTGGTCAAGTCAGTTACCGTGGTGAAATAGGTCCAGCAAGCCCACATTGACCTAAAGCGGTCTAGTTTGTCTTGCTTGGTGGCCAACAACTCCTCCATTTCATGTACGTGACCAACCTGTGCCAGCCATTCGCGAATCGTGGATACTTCGGTCTGTCTCCAGTGGCGGGGGATGATTGTGCGTGCAGCGTTAATGAGGTGTCAGTGTAATGACTTAAACGCGCCTTTTGGCCGACCAGGTTCCCAATGTAGTAGGGAATGCGAGGGCGAGAATGGGAGTGTGGCTCCAGTGATCTTACGTATTGCTTCGGTTGTATCTGGGGGGAGGACCAGAAGATGTGTGTGAGGGTACCATCATCTGTGTTGCATCTCCAGCACAGTGGGGACACGGCTGGGTATATACGGTGTAGTAAGTGGGGAGTCCTGTACCTCTACAGTGTGGTTTAATACCTCCTTGTATTTGAATGCACACCGTTTCTATGTGTAGGAATGCTGTAATAAGGAAGTGTTCTTTCCAATAAACAGGTTGTTTTTCTGCAGTTGCATTAGGGTTATGTTGTGGTCAGTTTAAATGTAGAAATTGCTTCCTGTAAGCAGCCACTTCATACTTGTCATAACTGTACAATAGTGTGATGTTCAGAACAACAGTTACTGATCATCTTCTGGAATGCTGCGAAAAGACACGTTAAAGGTAGCTTTGAGCCACATGTGACACCCGAACCTCTAGTAGCGGAGCTCTGGCAATGTGGGCATCTTTTAAATGTGAATATCGATCATACATGGTCAGTACTGGTCACCAGCAAAGCCCTTAGCAACAACATGGCTGTTTTAGGACATTTGTAAGCAAACAGAGCCCACTTTAAAAGGAATATACAATATAGCCAAAAGTATTGGGACGCCTGCCTTTACATCCACATGAACTTTAATGGCATCCAAGTCTTAGTCCGTAGGGTTCAATATTGAGTTGAACCGCCCTTTGCCGCCATAACAGCTTCAACTCTTCTGGGAAAGCTGTCCACAAGGTTTAGGAGTGTGTCTATGGGAATGTTTGACCATTCTTCCAGAAGCGCATTTGTGAGGTCAGGTACTGATGTTGGACGAGAACACCTGGCTCGCAGTCTCAGCTCTAATTCATCCCAGAGGTGTTCTGTCGAGTTGAAGTCATTTATTTGGAGGGGTGTCCCAATACTTTTGGCAATATAGTGCATCTATCGCGTTATACGGACTATATTGAAACAGTTGTACAACAGTTTTTCCATTTGTGGGGTTTGAATGCCCTAGATACAGTTGTACCCAAAAGCTGTTTTTCATTCGAGTTTGAAGCATTTCTTCAAAGGGAAGGTAAAGTTATTTTTAGTTATTGCTTCTTTGTGAAAACCTTACACTGAGCCGTCTGATAAGGGATACGTCCGTGCTGTAATTCACTTCAAGAAGAACTCCAGGTTGTAAATAACCCTTGCAATGGTGCTACTTCAGCACTGCAAAGGTTAACTGCTCATTTTTCTCTAGGGACGATAAAGACGAAAAGACCTGATCCTCAGTCTTGCGCAGTGACTGCTCACCTCTCTACTCTCTGGCTGTGGTACTTCCCTCGGCATCTTCACGTCTAATGCAAGTGAATGGACTGTATTAGGCGTGATGATGTCTGCAGGGCTTAGACCGCTGGAGCCCGGTGAAGAAGAGGCAGCGGGGATTGGTCTAGCAGCCAGGCAGAACCTAGGATCCGGTGAGTATTTCTTCATTATTGTTCCTAGACTGCAGTTAACCCTTGCAGTGTTACTGCAAGGGTTAATGTTTCTCCAATCTGGGGTTCTCCTTGAAATGAATCCTTGCAGCACTGACATATCCCTTATCAGAGAGCTCAGTATAAGGTTTTCCCAAAGAAGATGTAAGCTTCAGTTGCTATGCTGCCTATTTAACCCATAGTGATTTTGTAATCCTGCTGTGCTAAATGTCTGCACTGTAATATTTTGTTCAATAATAATTTCATATTTTTATGTATTGTACAGGACGTACAGACATGAAGGTTTGAAAACATTTCAACTTTATGCTAAAAAAAAACAAGACTTTAAAGTAAAAAAACTGCAATAACAAAAAATACGCGCTCACTAAAATCACTTTACGTTCCCTTTCAGGAAATGCATCAAACTGCAAGCTCTTGGGTCCAACTGTATCTAGGGCTTTTTGGCCCCATACATGGCAAAACTGGTGTACAGCTGTTTCAATATAGTCCGTATAACACAATAATTGCATTCCTTTTAAAGTGGGCTCCCTTTTGTAAGTTTTCTACAACCTGGAGTTCTTCTTTCAGTTCTCTAAACAACAGACTGCTTTGTGCACAGCTGAAAGTTAAAAGCTGAATATGTGAAAATGAGACTGGAGCTCCTTCTGCTGGTTGGATAGAAGACTGCTTTTCTATAGCCAGTAGTCAAAAAATACAGCTTATTATGCAAAGACTTATATACAAATCTAGTATACATTCTCTTTAAACCAACTTTTGATGTAACAGGACACAAAATCTCAGTATGCGCTCAGCAAATATGGCTGCCCCCATGTACATTTTATAGTTACTAATAGAGATGCACCCATACTAGTTTCGGTACCGATGCCAAGTATTTGGGTGAGTACTTGTGTGAGGGAGCATGGAGCCGGCTTCCCGGCCAATCAGGAAGCCGGGCGCCGTGTCATTACACGGCGCCCTGCTTTCTGCTTTTTTTGTCACCTAGTGACGAGAAGCATGGGGACGGCTTCCCTGCTAATCGGGAAGCTGGGTGGTGAGTCTTTCCACGCCTCCCGGCTAATCAGGAAGCCAGGTGGCGAGTCATTACATGCCGCCTGGCTTCCTTAATGGGACTTTCGGTATCGGCGAGTACCGAAACAAAAAATATCAGTACTCGATACCGAAATACTGGTATCGGTGCATCGCTACTTACTAATTATACTGTTAACACATTAACATTCAAGATTCACATCAAGTTGACCTCTTTTACATGGATCATGTCTAAAACAAAAAGTACTGAAAAGATTAGGCCTTCACCTTTTTAAATAGACATTTATGTGTTTTGAACACAAGCTCTTACTGACACCTGTAGCTGCAGAGGCACTTGGGTGCAATATATACTTCATAGCAGAGGCAGCAAAGTGTTTCAAGATGTTTTCCTCAGCTCCCTCTGCTCCCCCTTCCAGCAGTGACTTGGCAGCCTTCCATCCTTCTATGCAATAATAGTTTTCTTATTCCTCGCTCCTGCGTGCTTCCTCCCCTATTGTACAACTGAACCCACAAAGCTGCTCCTTTTCACCTCCTAGATGGTGGTAGCTTCTCCGTCCGGATGTTATGACCTACAATGCAGGATCAGCGGTCCAGCATTGTACATGAGGATGTCAAGCGCCTGCCCAAATACCAGGAGAGCACTGGCTACGTAGGGAATGAAGAATAAGGCATGAAACCCTTGCAGTAGGAACTGTGCAGGTTTTATTGCTGGATGGAGTTCAAGCACAGACTGAGGTTGAGAATAGAATGTCCGCTATACGTGGGGGGTGTTAATGATTCTGAGAAGTTGTCTCACATCTAAATTTGAATGTATCTAATAAATGTCATCTATACTTTAGAGTTATAAAATTGTGTAATTTTTTTTCTTTCCATGGCTAGATCAGGCTGAGTGAAGAAACCATCCAGGATGTGGTACAGGCAGCCGATCTCCTACTGCTTACCGATCTCAAGACTCTGTGCTGCGAGTTCTTGGAGGGCTGCATCACTGCTGAGAACTGCATAGGCATCCGAGACTTTGCCCTGCATTACTGCCTGAACCACGTGTATTACCTCGCCACCGAGTACCTGGAGACCCACTTCAGAGATGTCAGCAGCACTGAGGAGTTTTTAGAACTGAACCCAATCAAAGTCAAAGAAGTCCTATCCCTAGAGAAGCTTAATGTAGGCAATGAAAAATATGTCTTTGAAGCAGTGTTACGCTGGATTGGCCAGGATTCTGAAGGGAGAAAGGTACGTCCCTATATTGTTTTTTTTTTTTTCCTGTAATTACTGACTTTGCAGCTCCCGGATACCCCATGTCAGTGGCTAATGTCAGCGTCTGGTTTTAATCTGAGTAGTTGAAGCTGTTTAAGTAAGCTGGCCATACCAAGCCTGCAGGCTGAATGCAGAAAAAAGCAGATTCCTCCATCCACGCTAAACAGCAAATCTCAAATCCCCCGCTGCGGCTATTGTATTCTAACAACCGATGGCCACCACTGTCAGAATACACACTGCAGCTGTCGGGGACTGCAGCTGATTCGTTGCAGTTCTTGGTCAGGGGAGAATTTTTCACCTGGCTCCTTTAAGTTTCAGATCTAAAGATGTCAGGCGGGAGACTGTCGACGGGGCCACCCACGGAGCGAATTTCAGCCATTTCATCAATAACTGTCCAAGCTTTGGCCAGCTTTAAAAGTTCTTTTTTTTTTTTTGTGCTGGTTAGTGTGCTGAGGCACCTTTGTGATGGGAGAGGTGACTGAACAAAAGGTGGATTCCCCCCCCCCTGAGGGTCCATTCACAGCAGCCACTGTACAAAACGCACAGCGGCTGGTGTAATGCACCTGACACAGCGCCGTCACTCCGATCCCAGCACATCACACTGTGTACTTTCTTTTTTTTTGCTTTTTTTAGAACTTTATTGAAATGTCACAAGTGACATTTCATTCAGTTCTCAGGCACAGCGAGGTGTGAGATGGTAGTTCCATATTGCATCCTGCTATGCTGACCATCGCGTTCCCACTGCAACTCAGTGATGTGAAATGTGTCCATTGTCTTGCGTTGGCGCTAGGCTGGAAACATTGACCAGCACATCCTCAGCATATGTGGTGTGAATTCACCTTGAGAATTACAATATGCTCAGTAATAAGTATGGCATCCTCTCCCTCTCACCCCAAGGGCAGTTCAGGGCAGAAGGAGGCAGATCTTTATGACAGGGTAGTGTTAAGTGAAGTGCTTCCTTGTCATATTATAGGACTCGGCTGTAACTTGATGTATTTGGCTCCTGGCACCTTTACTGTAACCATGCCTAGTCACAGCAAGTGTATGTGGTCATGCATTCTTCAGCACGCGCTTCCCCAGATGGATTTGTACTGCTGTCGTGAAAGGCAGCAGAGATCTCCATCATTTGGAGGGAAAGCCTAATAAATTGGGGGGTTTTAAATTGTTTCCTGATTGTTAAAATATATGCAAACCCTAACAATGGACTTCTTGTATTTGCTTCTTTTTGGTCTGTTAACTATACCATAGAATGAGGGCAATCTATCAAATCTGGAGCAGTTGCCCATGGCAACCAATCAGCCTCTCTTTCATTTTCAAAGCTTAAGTTAAGCTAAAGAGAGAAGCTGATTGGTTACCATGGGAACCTGCCCCGGATTTTGTCTGCTCCAGTTTTTTATAAATTCCCCCCATTGTGTTTTTATCTGTTTTGAGAAGTTAAAAAAAAATTGTTGATAAGCCAAAAATCTAGTGAGCTCTCTGTTTTTATGCAACTTGGCAGTGTTATCAACCCGACCCAGTTTACATGCCCAATCCATACACTATAGAGAGGGGGGTGATCTGTAGTCGGTTGGTCACATGAGGATCTCCAGCCGAGTGATACACAAATAAGATACATTTTTGTTCATAATTAAGGTACTTGAATGTATTTTTAAGGTTTAACGTCTGATCTTAGTGTCACTTTAAAAATGAGCTATCATTTCAGTAGAACACATTTTTTGTTAGTCATTTTAGTACTAATTTGTGAAGACAGAATATGGTTTCGTCAGAATCCGTTATGTATAGCTAGATCAAATGTGTAAATAGTAAGCACGGAGCATCAGTGGAATCCCTCAGAATGCCATTTATAGTTGTATTACTAGACTGAGTGGTGTTAAAAGTGCTCAGAGTACATTACGACTCCTCTGAGACTTTTATCTGCGCTCTGTTCTTGTTACCGGATCTCTCGCAGCATTTGAGTAGTGGAACCTTCATTGACTGATCCGTCTGAACTACTAAACTCTTGATAGCATAGTTGGCCCGCTGTATATGAAATGAATCTTCGTTCCCTGTTTAGTGTCTGTACACCTGTTCGTTTTATTCTCTCTTGCTTTGAGCGTCTGATTTTCGGTGATTGTATAAATGCATTTGACACTTTTTTTTGTTAAAGAACTAGGCCAGGGAAATCCGCCATTTATAAGCTAACTTTACACTTTATTTAAATGTCATGAAACAGTGTTTTTTTTTTGTCTAGCATGTGTGGATAAAGAAGATCTCCAGGAATGTATCCCTTGCAGTGGGGCTGCCCCGCACGGCAAAGGTTAATGAAAAGCTGGGCAGTATATTAACCCTTGCAGTGGGGCTGAAGAACAACTGCGGGCAGAATCTTGCTTAACCCTTGCAATGGGGCTACCCCCACACTGCAAGGGTTAACTGCTTGTTTTTGTCTAGGTAAAAAAAGTTACACTCACCCGATCCTCCGAGCCAGCTTGCTCTTAGACCTGTCTTTAGAGCTTCTTTCCCCCTTTACTGCAGCAGTCTAAGGTGCCGGAAATCATCACATTCTATATACGGTGTATAGACGTGGGATGCAGAGGAACATTGCCGTGTTGCAGTGTTAGACGAGAGATGCTTCAGTGACCTGGGAAGCAGGCAGCTGGCTTGGCGGTTTGGGTGAGTAGAATAATAAAAAAAAAAAATTATCTATATCATTAATTTTTATAGCACCTAGACAAAAACGAGCATTTAACCCTTGCAGTGTGGGGGTAGCCCCTCTTGAGGGTTAAAAAAAAATGTTACCCGAGAGTTCAGCTTTATGGAGGATTGGGTGAGTCTTTGTTCTTTATTTTCACTCCCTAGAGGAGCACTTAACCCTTGCAGTGCAGGGTAGCCCTACTGCAAGGGTTAACGTTTCAAATTCCTGTTGCATGTCCTCTTAAGCTGAGTATACATTAGTGGGTATTTCGTACAACTTTCAAACGGAACAAAAAAAAATAAAAATCTAACAGGTTCACCCATCCATGCTAAACAGTGTGGAGGGATTGTTCTCCTGACCATTTCCTAATTGACTCTTCTGCCCATTGGAGGTTATGTGTAATGTGATGGGTTCAATAAAGTTATATTCTGGGGGAAAAATAAACAGTGTGGATAAAAAAATCTCCCTCTGCAACTTTTGTATTTTGAGCCTTTGCCACCAGCTGTCAAAATACCTGAGCCGTGCCTGCATTTGATTGGATGCAGACACTTTTCCACCCAGCTGCTTCAATTCTTTTCAGTCGAAAGGATGTCTGGCAGACAGGACTACCCAATGAGCGGATTTCAGCCGGTGTTCTGTCGAAAGAGCCAATTCATAGACATCTCCAACTATGGTCACTTGCCAGCAGGAGATTTCGACGAGTTGGTGCTCATGTCCGACAGCATAACGCTAAACCAGGAGGATTTCTATAGCATACCACATTAACATTAATCAAACACTGCATGCGTACTGACGGCTGTTGAACTGGACGAGCATTGTCAAAGTTGTGAAAATGCAGCTGTACAGAGCTCCTCCAGTCCTTCTCTTCTGCAGTCGCATGCGCAGTAATGTCAGTTCATCCAAATCTCCTGCTGGCAAGTTACCGGAAGTGACCTAAATGGAGATTTCGATGAATTGACTCTTTTGACGGAACACCGGCTCAGCAAGCTGCTGATCAGCTTTTGGCTTTAAACAGTTAAAGATGAACTTCAGTCTTGCACAGTTGTACAGGCTTCTTTCATGTACTGAAATGACTGACTTTGATTTCACGGCACAATGTGCATTAGAAGATGCAGCAAGTAAGATGGGGTCGGTCTCATTTACTGGCTGGCGGTTGTCCAGCACCATCTAGTCCGCCATGATGGATCTCCAGCATCATAATGAAATGCCTTCTTCCCCAAAACATCCCAGTTGGGTCCTTTTGCCTAGTGTGATTAATGTCCAAGTCCCATCGCACTCCTGACTGGTAAGTTCCTTGGGGAATAGGTGGGTGCAGCAGTGATAAATGGATCTCAGGAAAGCAAGGGTCAATGGCACTCCAGTGTGCTGATCAATATGCCTTTTATTGGTACATGCTCAGTATCACATAACATGACGTTTTAGGGCCGCACAAGGTCCTCTTCATCTGGCAAAACAGTGATGACGCAGCCCAGTGATACACAAATAAGATACATTTTTGTATACATTTTTAATAGTTCAGGTACTTAAATGCATTATTAAAGTGACATTAACCACTTCAAGACCAGGTGTTTAGACCCCCTTCCTGGCCAGGCCATTTTTCAGTGTTCAGCGCTGCAGTCCTTTGACTGACGTTTATTCCGCCATGCAACGCTGTACTGAAATGAATTTTATACCATTTTTTGGGGACAGATAGGGCTTTATTTTGTCCGTTTTTCTACTACGGCCGGCCCGGAGGCAGTTAAAGGATATTTTTTTTCCCCCCTCTCCCCAATGTAAATGTCAGCACTTACCTTGAATGATGTCTCTTAATCCGATCTTCTTCTTTCCTGATGTTTTCATCTGTCCCTCCAGCGGTGCGGAGGCTCTCCGATCCAGCGCTGACTCCTCTCGGCTAGCAGGCACTTCTGATCCCACGGTGTCTGCATGCGGGTGCACGTGTCCATAGACTTACCTTCCGTCTCTGCAAGGATGCACTTAAAGCTGATCTCTGGGCATAAAAATGTAAATTAAATATATTCCTCCATGGCTATAAAAGATATAAATACACTTTGTATGCACCAAATGCCTTTGTAAACCCAGTTATTAACTTCTAAAAGTAGTTGTGACACCATCACTGGACTGCATGGTAGTCTGTGAAAAGAGCAGAGCTGTGGGAGGGGCCCAGCAGGTCCACCCACTACAGGCTGATTGTAGAAATCTACAGGAGGGGGCGGAGACAAGACCAGAGGTCTCCCGGCCGAGAATCCGAACTGCGTATGCGCCCACCCCAAGATGTTTTCTGGCCGCCGGAGCAGTTTTGTTTTCTCGGACGGGAGCGTGCAGCGAAAGCAAGGTAAGTTTAAACCGCTGTTGAAGCGTTTTTAAAAAAAACTAACTTTTTGCCTATTTCTACTGCTTGATAGCAGTAGATATAGGCAAAAAAACGGAGTCTTTAGAACCCCTTTCAGATTGAACTCCTGAGTTTAGTGTCCCTTTAAATTGAAGTCAGCGACGTTTATCCTCACAGGTAAGATTAGGGGCCATGTGACTAAAGCTGGACATACTCCAATAGAATTTTGTGTTTTTTGGAACCTTCATTTCACTTCATTTTTCGTATGAACATTCAGTGTATGGCCAACTCTACTGAAGTGTCTAAATTTCGATTCCACTTTAAGATATAGGTGTCCTACTTGTGGGAATGTTGTCATTTGTCCTACTTCTATCTGTTAAATGTGGTAACCGTTACTGGCTTCTGATGAAGCATGAATCCCATTTCTAGTGTTAGCAGACACCTCTGATAACCGAATGATGACAGGAGCCGGTTGAGCGCGGATTCCTGAGCAAGAATGTTATGCTGCATCACAGACCTCATCAAAAGCATTTCATAGACTATTTTTATCTTCGGAAGCATCAGCTGATGTATGTGGGGCTGGCACGGAGTCTGCACAAAGAGCTGCCATGACAGAGCATTTTTGTTTGTATGCTGTACAAATATTAAAGTGGAATGCCAGCTTTTTCCATCCATCCATGACCTTCAATGCCATATTAGCTGATCTTAAAGGGCATCTAAACCCAAAAGCAGAATATAATATACATTGACATAATAATAATACACTGCCTGGCAAAACAAAAAAGTCACACATTTTGATATTTTGTTGGACCACCTTTTAGCTTTGATTACGGCACACATTCACTGTGGTAGGGTTTCGATAAGCTTAAATGTCAAAACATTTATTTCCATCCAGAGCTGCATTCATTTTTCACCAACATCTTGTAGTGATGATGGGAGAGTCAGACCACTGCGCAAAGTCTTCTCCAGCACATCCCAAATATTCTCAATGGGGTTAAGGTCTGGACTCTGTGGGGGCCAATCCAAGTGTGACAATGATGTCTCATGCTCCCGCAACCACTCTTTCACAATTTGAGCCTGAAGAATCCATGCATATATCTTGGAATATGCCCGTGCCATCAGGGAAGAAAAAAATCAATTAAAGGAGAACTGAGGTGAGTGATTTCCACTCATCCTCATAGTTAGAGCCGACCTGTGACAAAGAAGCTGTCACAGGTCGGCTCTGTTGATCGGGAAGTGAGTGGAAATATGCAGCCGATCCGCTCACTTCTCGATCATCTCCCTGCAGAGCCGTGACTGTCAGTCACCACTCCCCACGAGGATTCCCCCCCTCCCCTTTCCGATACTCCAGCGCTGACTGGAGGAACGGACGGGGGAGGGGGCGAGCACAGCTGGCTCTGCATCTAGATAGGCAGAGCTAGCCGTCACTCACGCAGTGGGTCTCGACAGTATTGTCGGGATCCGTCTCGGCAGCGGTGCTTTCAGTATATTGCTGGCAATAGCCTGCTGTATACTGAGCTTTGGGTCATGGAAGGAGGTTAGTATATGTCCTCCCATGACCCTGATGAGAAGTATGGGGGAAAACACTTACCCCATAGTTCTATTTTGCTGGTAAAAACTGGTCATTCAGTATTGTCAGGCCGGCAGCTGACCTTACTTTTGGGGACATAATGTTGCTCAACCTAGACCTGACCAAGTGAAAGTAGTACTAAAGGCAAGGCGTTGCCTGCTTGAAGGTAAAAAATGCCCAGTACCTTTCGGTGTTCCCCTGTCCCCCCCATACTTGCATGTGGTCCCTTGTCCCCGCTGCAAGGGCCCCTGAAGATATCCTCCATTCGGACCGTCCTGATTGCAGGGAGGACAACGAGGCCTGAGGAGCGATTTGGCTTCTTCTGCCATCAATCTGTTGGGAGGAGGGGCATGGCTTGCCACAACCTGTGTCTCTCTATGGACAGCTACTTATGGCCACAGCTGGAAACGCGCACTTATGGGTGTCTCCTCAGCAGCCAGCTAGCTGATGGAGACCTACGCAACGGGAGGGGAGAGCAGTTTGGGGATCAGCTAGAGTACGAGGAAAGAAATGGCTTTAAAGAAGGGTAGCAATTTCCTGCAAGTATGATACTTCTAAGAACAAAAAAGGAAGGTTTAATATCACTTGAAGCAACCGCAGATTATAATACTGCTCAAAATCCAGGTGGGGCTTTTTTTTTTTGACCAGGCAGTGTATATTGCAGTTTACCAATCCTTTAGATGTGATGGTTGCATTAGTTTTCTTTTGGGCTTTTTCTTCCTTTTTATTTCCACCTGGTGATCTAGCCAGTAACTCTTCCTTCTGGAGGGTGGCTACTTTTGTTTCCCATGGTCCCTGTGTGTGTTGTAAAGTAGCCACCGCTCCAAGCTTGCTCCTGTGATGGGACTACAATCTCGCATTTAGTTTACTAATTTGTATTGAGATTGTAGTCCATCACAGGTGTGAGCTTGGAGCGGTGGCTACTTTACAACACACAGGGACCGTGGGGAACAAATGTAGCCCCCCTCCAGAAGGAAGGACAGTGTCCGCATGAACTCAGGCCTGGTTCACACCTGAACGTTCTGTAGCGTGTTCAACGCTCGACGAACGCTCTACAAACCGCTCAAACATCTAAATCCCATTGTATTCAATGGGTCTGGTTCACACCTTGCCGTATTTCCGCCCGCCCGAACGTGATACAAAACAGCCTACGCCCAAAGAAGTACATGTACTTCTTTGGGGAGTTTTGGTCTCGCGTTTCCATTGGGATACAGCCAAGTAGCCCACGGAAACGTGCGGTTTTTTTTTTAAAGCGCGACAAACGCGCATATTCAATACGCCCAGCGAACCCAGTCAGAGATGATTTGAGGATCTACAGCCAAGTGATACACAAATAAGATGCATGTCACACAGAGGTCACGCAAATAAGACTCATGTCACACAGAGGGAAGCAGTAAGTCATTCCGGGATCAAATCGAATACAACTTTGTCTTTCTAATGGGGTATCTGATTCTCTCGAAACTCCTATATGATCTTATTTTACTCGTGTGGTTTTCATGCAAAGAAATAAAAATGTGTATTTGGACCACCACAACACCTTTTTAAAATGTTTTAAATAAACAAAATGAACGATATTTGTAAGTGGCTAACGTCACTATTTCTGTGTTTTTGTTGTTTCTTTGTAGTTGAAATACCTACAGGATTTATTTATTTATTTTGTTTCTTCAGGTTCACATGAAGGATGTAAGTTCGGCCTTGTGGGTGAGTGGCTTGGACTCTAGCTATCTCCGTGAACAAATGTTGAATGAGCCACTGGTACGAGAAATGATCAGAGAGTGCACCAACATCCCCCTGAGCCAGCCTCAGCAAGGAGAGGCTGTCCTGGCCTCCTTCAAGCCCAGAGGTTATTCGGAGTGCATTGTGACCGTGGGCGGAGAGGAACGAGCGTAGGTGACATTTCTATACAGTAATGTTACAATCCATTGCTTTGTAATGCACTGCCTCCAGTAAATGCTACAGTTTTTTTCTTTACCTGATTTTATAAATGACCGTTTTTCTTCATACACTTACACTTTAATATACTTTGGTGTTTTTAGATACACCTGTAAAATAGATGAGCTTACATTAAATAATGTTATCAATGTGTGTTAAAGGAGAACTATGAGGTGAATGCTTTTCACTCACCTCATAGTTCTAGCCGACCTGTGACAATGAGACTGTCACAGGTCGGCTCAGTAGATCGGGAGGTGAGCGAACATATACCGGCGTTTGCTCACCTCTCGATCCTGTCACAGCTCTCTGCCATGACAGGGGAGGGGCTGGATTCCCCCCTCCCCGCTCCGATCCGCCAGCGCTGACTGGCGGAACGGACGGGGCAGGTACAGCTGGCTCTGCCTCTAGATAGGCAGAGCCAGCTGTCACTCACGCAGCTGGGCGGATCTCGACATCGATTGTCGGGATCTGCTCCGTCTGAGGCGTCTCAGTATACCGCGAGCTGCAGCTCGCGGTATACTGAGCTTAGGGTAACGGGAGGATGCTAGTTTGTGTCCTCCCGTTACCCTAAGGAGAACTATGGGGAAAAGCCCTGACACCATAGTTCTCCTTTAAAGCAGAACTCGGGGGGGTATTCTTAACCTTGTGTCTAGGTTAAGAAAAAGTAAAGTTATACTCACCCATTTCGTGAGCCGACTTGCTCTTAGACCAAACCCTTTCACCTCAGTCTCCCTCCACTGCAGCGGTCTAAGGATCCTCGAGTCATCACGTCTATTCAGTGTATAGGATGTGAAGATGCCAAGGGACATACTATCTGAACGATAGCCGTGGCGGTAGTGTCCCATCTCTGGTCCTGCTGGCGGCGCTCCTCGATGACATCCGCTGTCTTCTGCAGCTTCCTCCGCCCACCTCAGCTGCCAGGCTGGGAGGAAGATTGCAGAGACAGTGAGACCGGCCAGCCAGAAAGTTATGCAGCAGGAGGAAAAGAGGATACATGGACGATCTCTGCACTGCCCCCACCACCACCACCAGGAGAGAGAAGAGGCACCTGAATACCAGCTAAGTGCACTTAAAGTCCCTTTTCTTTCTTCCTTACACTGTGCGTCACACTGACCCTGCACAGTGCATCACTCTGACCTCTGCGCGGTGCGTCACGCTGATCTCTGCGCGGTGCGTTACATTACTGACCTGGTGGAGTTAAAGTCCAGGGTAGGGGTTAGGTGGGGCAACTGGTGGCGAGTAACTTTTAGGCCTGGCTAGTAGCTCAGGACTTGAAATTTTGAGCCCTGTGTGTATGTATGTATATATATATTAGGG